TTTGGAGGACAAGCGTAGATTTAAATTTCAATTTGAAAGCCGAAATCAAAACTTGGGGCAGCTCTTAAAACAAAATTATACTACGCGTCATGCCTTGAAATCCGTTGCGGGCCCTTTAAAGATATTTTGCGTTTTTATTGTCAAACGAAACGTATTTTACAAATGTTCTGGGATTCGTGTCACTGATAATAGCCGAAAAAGGTAACGTCACGTTCGAGGATTCGCATTTCGCAAGTCAGTTTTCACATCAGATTTTCCCCAAGTACTGAGGAGGTAATGAAAAGCAGTGCACCATTAACTTATACAAATATAGCGGGAGAAATTAGTCAAGAATGTCCCTCGCCTGTTGGGATACTTTTTGGAAACGGGCAAATCTCTAACTATCCATTATAGTATGCAGGAACATTGCGACATAGAGTCTTTACAATACACTGTGTAGCATAGAATAAATGGATGATCTAGCTTTGCTCCAAATATATGGACAGTTTAAAACTTCCTAGTCCATCAACTTCTACGTTGTTTAATCAAGGTCTGTAGGTCAAATTTTCGTCGATATAGTACCATTCCAATAAGGAAACTTAATTGCACTAACAACTTAATCCGCCCATACAGGACATGCGAGAATGAAGATTTATTACACACAAGTCGTAAACTTATAACCGAAAATTAATAGAAAATGCCACAGCTACAGTACGCACATTATCGACTAATTATTTTACGAATAAAAAATTCATTAGCAACATTAAACGAAATCATCATTGATTAAAAACTGGATTTCACCTCCACGCGCGCATTAATAATTCAAAAGTGGCGTGTCGAACACGGTAAGTCACCGACATTTACAATATAAATCCTCAAGCTGGCGGAACCGCTTTATTATTAGTTTCATTTACCCAAAGAGTGCCAAAAATGTATAAATTTCCTTTCGGCCGAGTGAGTGCCAGTGATAGCTCCATTAAACGGCGTGGTTCCGAACCAGTTTATTGAGGTATGATGTACGACGATTCGTTTACGAAACTCGAATTCGCACCATACGCCTTCGTAATAAACAATTAAGTAGGAGAGAAGTAACGGATGAGTGTGGAGAAAAAGAATTGCGCCAATTACGAGTGACAGCTTCGAGTGTAATTCCATTGAAAGCTTGTCTAACACAACGTCGCTTGGAAAAAAAGCACAAATGACGATCGCCCTGTATACTGGGAACATGTTTTTATTGCCAACAGTTATTTTGAGCTTTGTGCGAAGTCTATTTTTACGAGATGGTTCTTCCAAGTTTGATAGGTTATACTTCCCATTATAGTAATTAATCGCATTCAGATGCAAATAGAGTTCTTGGTTGTATTTGAAAATTTGACAGCAATGCTTTTATGCATGAACTGATAATTTGTTGTTACAAACCGCAATTGCTACTTGGCAATACGTTCTAATACTCGCACCTAAACTACAATGGGTTAGAAAATTTCAGGAACAATGCTCTCTCATTTAGCACCTTAAATTCTAAACAGTCAGTGGCTTGGTAACTGTTGATGATCATTCACTCAAAATAACATCTGCAAGCATTTGAAAAGCTGCAAGATCAAATGAAATATAAAAGTAGATTGAATTTGAAAATTTTGCTCTTTGTCGCTCTTGGAAAGTTACCCCTATAGATTCGCCCAAGGAATATTGGCCCCACCACTCCTAAAGTATTATCACTCTCGAAATATTACCCCACAAAAACTGACCAGAAATAAAAGTATATTCATTCAAAATATTTGTCTCTCAAGGGTCGTGGTACCCTACGAAAGATTCACGTTCAAAAATTTGATTTTGTTAATCACAGCTCGGCTATTACGATGTCTTCTCATCAAGAAAATTGCTTATGAATTTTGATTTATTCAAACTGTTTAGCTCATAAATATTCCTTTGCGTAATTGAAACACGGCACTTATATGCCTTTTTTTTGACCCGAAAAAAATTGTGTCAGATCGACCGGAAAAAAATATTTTCTTATAGAATGTGGCCTGTAGAATCCATAATTTCAAACAGTTCCAAGATCGGGCTACTAGATCAAAAGTTACAGCCCTTTGAATTTTTTGTTGAAATTCGTTTTTTGCCCATAACTTTTGATTGGACGTCTAATCGAAAAAGTACAAACCGCTTTGGATTCTACGCACCAAAATTAATTAGAAAAAGTTTTTTCCCGAGAAATTTTGGTGCAGTCGATTTTTGGTAAAAAAGGAAGGTTATACACTGCCTTTTTTTTGGCACGACACAATAAAATTGTCTTATAGATACAAGAAGTACGTGGCAAATATGATTTTCAGTGAATTTGGATACATTCCGAAATAATTTATTTGTAACAAAACGGTTAGAAGTACGACCTCTATCGTTAGGACATTTTTTGTAGGCAATATAAGTAGCTGTAAATAGCCGCTTCAAGCATTGCTCTAACTATTATACCGTCTTTGAGTTAGAAACGATAAAGTGAATCGCCACGCGCGCTACTTCACTCCCTCCCCCTCATGTGATGCCCTCCGCGGAAATGCAACGACATCGATTTTTTTCATCTACTATATGCTCCCAACAATAATCAAAAGTCAAACTGCGTTAGACTTTCAATGCATGCTCAAACCCTTTGGCGCCCGGCCTAACTTCTCTAGTTAATAAATCGGCAGAAAAATTGTTTAAACAACCCAAACTAACTTAGCCTTCGCACCGAAAATCTCGAATGATCTCTCCTAATTACCGAGTTAATTTTTTACTTCCACAAAATGAGCGCTCACCCAAACTCCCTAACGCGACTGACAATTATAGAAGCATTACACCCCAGGCGAATCTACCTTTAAACTCAAAATTGGGAGGTGGTATCAGCCAGAAGTCCAACATTTTCAAATACCCAACCTATCAGCAGCGAGGGCCAGCTCAGAAATGATTGGAAACGTCTATGGGAATCTTCTCCTGGACTAAGGCAATCAAAGAAACTGATCAGTTTCCAGGAAACCAAAACCAGCTTGCTGCTACCACTCAGCAGAAGTGAAGTAAGGTCATACATAGGCATGATTGACAAAGCACGGTGGTTTAGTCCACAGTGTAAAAAAAATAATTTACATATCTCTGTGGGAACTTCGCCATGGTGTTCGGCAGCTGGTTTTCCATTTTAGCGGTTAAACGGCTCATACAAACTAAAACATTACTTTCACCTTCTGTTTCTCAGAAGGAATTCCTCGTCCATATACCGGGTGGTCAATGAAGCTGGAGGCTTTCATCAATGTATGTTCAATAAAACTAGTATAATTCTTGGAACGAAAACGACCGCTTCGTTACATTATTAGTTTTCAAGCATTTTACTATTCTTTCTCTACGTTTCAGGGATAGATTCATCATCTTCTCTGTTCGAAATATGCACATTCCACCTTGAAAGAAGCGTTATCAGTACTTAAGATGATTTTATTAAACTTTTTAAGTATTTTACAATAGTTATCGTGGCAGTTATAATTTTATCAAGGACAGATTCCTCTCAGTTGCTTCGTAATATGAAAAATTGACCTTGGCAGAAGGTTTATTTGCTTTTAAAAAGATTTTTTAAGCTTTTTGAGCATGTTGCAGTAATTATTGCGAGATTATAATTTTTTCCCTGTCTTTCAAGGGAGATCTAAATGTTCCAAATCGTTGTTATCTGCGGAAATTTTCAAAATAGTCGTTAGATTTTCCATAATTTCATGTCCAGTTTTGTAATGTGCATTGCCCCCTTAGCTTTTTGTTTTTCCATCCTACTACGTACTATATTGTTGTAATTATAATTGTTTTTGGAGAGCAAATATAATAGAAAAATAGACAATAACATTAGAAAAAGAATACATAAGAAAACTAAAAAAAAACAAGAAACAATTCTTCAATGTTAAAAGGTCCCAACAAGTGATAAAACATAACTCAACTCGGTTACATGTGTATGTTTGGTTTTTTTTGCAAATAGTAAGTGCTTATTACACACTAATGCCGATAGAGACATAAATTTTGCGTTGCCTAAACGCATAGGTAGGTTTCAATTCGATGACCACAATTGCTTACGTTTTAGTATCTTTAAACAATACCTTTGCAGACACTTATTGTCTAATGTTTCTACCATTCAATTTGATTTATATCGCCATTTGCATATAGATATATCCCGTCTAAGGGAAAGTAACGAAAATTATTTTATGTGCACTTTGCCAAAGCAAATTTGTAATTAAAATTCGTCTACTGTTGATTGATTAATTTGCGATGAAGCTAATTAGGTACTTTAATAATGGTGGAAGTTATATTAAAATAAAATTTATAAGCACTTTACCACCAACAATCATTTATGGACGTGTCCTAATTAACTCATAAATTCAGGTATATTATTATAATAACCGGTTGGAATTTCCACCCGAAAATCATGGCAGTTAGACCAAATAATCAGATATCGTTTCCTCAATTCAACCACTAATTAAATTAACACCGAAAATTATTTCGTCAATTTAACGTTTGCGGATTAATTTGCATTCGCCTATACTTTCACAGATTTGAACAGTAATGGGTATGATAGATAAGATCATAGATATTAATTAACTATGCGAATTAATTAATGATAATTATGCGCAAAGTCTGTAGGTTTTAGAAAAAAAAAGGGGGACAGTAGCTTTGTTTTTGCAGAATTAAAACGTAATTGCATACTTTGTATGTGTTAATTAACCGACTTGCACAGAACTACGAGAATCCTGGGTGGGGACGGCGTAACCTCTTTAGGTCAGGATGACAAAAAATTTCACCTTAATCGTATTATTGCCTCTTAATTGAAAGCACGGGGCGTCAATGGCCATTGCATCAAACATCAAAATCAAAACAGTACTCGTTACTTTCTCTTCAAGCGCCTACGGTAACGTTAATGTTTTACTGTTCGTATTTTATATTATAATTCGAATGCGCCCGAGAAACTTAACGAAGTCATTAAGACAGCGTGCCTATAAGATTCATATCTTTTTTTTCTCTCTTTTCAGATTAATATACATGCAATGGGATGATCAGGTACATTCGTGGTCGTATGGAAAAGAGGTAAGAATTTATAGTTTGTTAAAGAAGCACCGACTGTCAACTGTGGGAAATTAATTAAGCATGAAAGGTGCGATCGCTAATTAATTCTCAAATTATTCATAATAATAATTCAAATCATTGAACGCTGCGCCTTTTTCGTGGTATATTACTTTGCCCGGTTTCGTGGACAACTTTGCAAGCCATATACATATTCGGCGGAGGAGGGTAGCATCCCCTACAACGCAAGTTATGTTTCAAAGGCACAATTCGTGTGTCATTGAGACTGTGTCCAGGTTTGATACAGGTCCATTCTTTATGAATTTGTACGGAATTACACTTAATATGTCGAAATGCATCATGGGTAAAACAGAAATAGAATTTCTAGGATACAAGATTTCAAAACAAGGAATTAAAACTCATCGGCATTTCTACCGACCAAATCTTCCTAAAGCCTCCGAGCAACAATCCTCCAATCTCACGCAATACTTTCACAACGCAAAAAAGAAAGATCGCATGAAGACCGTTTGGATGGAAGAAAACAACATGGTGTTCGAATATTGCAAAGATAGCAAGACGGCCATTAGGATTTTTCCGAAAAGCACTAACTGAAACCCAACGTGGGCACAGTACCGAGAACTGCTAGCCTTCTACATGAGCATTAAATATTTTCGACGATTAATAGAAGGAAGTTCCCTAAAATCTTAACAGATCACAAACCCCTGGTATACGCCTTCACCAAATTCTACTTTACAATAATTTGGTGCCGATTTATATTTTGTCTGTGTGTGTTTATCTTTAAGCACAGCGCCATCTACTACAGTACTACCTTCTCATTAGTCAGGGCCACTTCTCAGAAGATTGAAGTACTAGAAGGATTTCGTGTAACAATTGAGTTACAAGTGCCCTCTCTTTCGATCCGCCTGAATCCGATTCTGTCTGTTGCCAATTCTGAAAATCGACCGGAAGGCAGATGGCGGTCAATTTGGCTGTATTTTCCGTCTAAAATGCCCGATTTTTACAGTTCAAGGGTCTGGACTCTCGTTTTTGGGGCCAAGAAGCGAGATGGAAGGGTCAAAAATGAGGTTGGAAGTGAAAAACCGAAATTTTTTATATTTGGGTCAAAATGACGCTAAAAATTCTACCTTTTTTTCAGAATGTTCTGAATTTTAAGATTTTTATATGTGGGCATGGGGTTTTTGGGGCCAAGGAACACAATGGAATGGAAAAAAATAAAATCGGATATGGTAGAAACGTGATTTTGTAATATTATGGCCGAAATGGTGTCAAATGTTTGAATTATGTTAACTTTCTCCAGAATACACTAAGATTCAAGTTTTTTATATGTTGGCGTAGGTTTTTGGGGTCAAATGACGCCAACAGTTTATGCAAAATGTCAAACTTCAACAAAAGCGTACACCATAGTTACAAATACTGCCTTTTCTTATAAGGTATAATATTTAACAGGGCCAGAAAGTTCAATTTCGAGAGGATTGGTCGGCGCAACGGTGCCGTCTCTTGGTGGCCAAAGCCAGAATTAATTTCTTTTTTAAGAATTCACTCTTCTAATCGGGTGGGCAGGATGTTTCTCATCAAATTTCTGAAATGTTGGCTCAAATTTCACTTCCGGTTCTATGTTTGACCCTTCCATCGTGTTCCTTGACCACAAAATACGTAGGTGAATTGCAAAAATCTGGCATTTTACACGGAGAATACGCCAGGCTCGCCACCACATTGGACGCATCTTGAATACCTCTCTTCCGGTCCATTTTCAGACTTGGCTGAAATAGAGGCAAACTACTTGGAACTCAATTGTTATACGAAATGCTTATTGCATGAGCAAGGAGAGCTTTAACTGTAAAGTGGCCTTGATTATAGAGGGTGACCAAAATGAAACAGACTGAATAATTCGTAAGGAAATAAATAGTTTTTGAAACAAACGCAAAAACCAGTCGATTTGGTTTGTAAGAGCGACATTTTTTACTTAAAAATGCTGTCAACCCCCTAAGCAGGGTTGTCACCTCTTCAATAATTTTAAATTCAACGGTGAGTCGAGTGACACATCATTGGAAAGAGCTCTTAATTTTCTACACTCCTATTGTTTATTTTTCAAATTTGAGTGAGTCGTTTGTAGGATACAGGGTGTCAAATCACAAATAATTCAAATGGTTATTTAATCTTTTACGTGAATGAACACAGATATAAGAAATTACTTTACCGAAGCTTGAGTCAAGTGTATCTTCCAAAATAGTTTAACTAAACCATAGGCGCGTAGGAAATTAATCAGCCCTTTCCAATGATTTGTCACTCGACCAAATGTTCAATTTAAAAAGATTGAAGGGGTGGCCACCCTGCCTAGTTGGTTGGCAGCAGTGGTGTAAATTTTAAAATAAAAGATGTCCCCCTTCCAACAAAATGGACATATTTTTGCGTTCTTTTCCAAAAACTATTTCCTTGCGAGTTATTCACTCTGTTGTGCCACCCTGTATAATGAAATGCAGTATATCTCAGACTTCAACACGTTTCGGGATCTGAAAATCAAGTTTCCGATGCACTCTCCCGAATCGCTGCTATTGATCTGCCATCACCTATCGACTACAAAATTCTCAAACAAGAACAGGACGCCGACACTAATGAACATTCCAAACCTGAATTTCAAGAGTATCAATTTCCCTGGTACAGCAAAATAACATGTGCCCTGTCAACTGCAACCGCTCGTACACCAAAAACGGCACTCAAAATTTGACTAAACTCCACCCACTGAACCCAATATCTAAAAACTATCTGAAGGGTACCTAATAGGAAACCAGTAAAAAGGTTTTCGCCTTGGTTTTCGCCCTAAGGCGAGTAACTTTAGCGCATTTTGCATGCATGTATCCGTATACTCCCCAAAAGGCTATGGTTATGTTTTTCTCTACTAAAAGCATCTATGGTTAAGATCGCAAAAAAAAACTATAGGTACATAAGAGAGTTGGCATTGCGTAATCTACGCATTCAAGCATCTTATTTTTACAATACGCGATATGTTTGCCTTTTCTGGAAGCATCTGTGGTTAACATTTCACGAAAATATCTCCATAAAGAACGTTGATCACAGCCTGTGCATGCTGACATTAATCGTCAAAGAACGTACTAAATATATTGGAAACTGTAGGAGCAGTTAAGACCTCGGACGGACGGACAGAGAAAGTGGCTGCAATAGCGCACCCAACTTCGTTGGAAAATGTGCTAAAAAGTAGGATACCTACGTGAGAAATTTAAACAATGGATTTTAAGGAAACTTAGTGGGACGTAGAGAAAATTTGAGGGAAGCACAAAAATGAGTTGAGGAGAGCTTAAGGGGAGATTATGGGAGTTAGAATTATTGAAGTAGGCAGCAGTTTGTAAGAAGTTGAACTTGACAAAAAATATGGTGAACTGAACAACACTCAAAAGGAAATTGAACAAGAAAGAAAGAAATTTTATTAAGGAGGTACTTGAGCTGAACTTTACAGGAAGTGGAACTGCAGATTAGCCAAACCTTGGCTTTTGAAGATGCATGCAATGTTATTAATTTGCAGTAGATCAAAACGCAACAAACTTTCTACGTAAAAAAATCGTTAGCTCATAAAACTAGCACATCTCCGAACGATCACATTAAATAGCGCTATTGCGAGCTGAATAATGTTATGCATATACCAGGACAATCTTTATGGGCCCATTTTACGATTAATTCTAGATGTTTAATACCGCATACTAAAAAAACCCCAAACACCATAAATCTTTCAGCTAGTAGTATCATTCATCTTTGATTAGTTTAGTAATTGCTCCCATCCTTTTAAGGAACGGGTTCGTGTAATCGCGCTACTTCCTTTCGTTCTCGTCCAATTTCCCTTTTTTTCCATAACGACGTACACAGAACTTTCCACGCTTAAATTTTAGAATTAATCGACCCAATCATTTAGAAACAATTATAATAACCATTAACAACAATTTAGAACACGGGGGCCAATTACTAATTAGCCGCCATTAAACATTTCGCCATAGATCGTACGAGCCGATAGTCCGAAATTTCGCAAGTACAAAGAACAATTTTCGTGTTAATTAAAGGAGGAAAATCAAGTTTTACAATGGCGGGTTAATTATCAAACTTTTAGTAGTACAAGATATAAATATTAAAATTTTTGTTTCCCGTTTTGAAATGCTTCAAAAATTTCATGGCGAGACTTGTTAGGAGTTTAATTAACTAAATTTCGACTTCCTTTGCATATTATATTGTTGCATTCTTAAATTTGCATATTTTAGATTGAGACAAGACAAGAAGTTTATACGTGTTGTTATCAATTAAGTTTCTCGTACATGCTGAGGAAGTTGTTCATTGGTGTTGATTGATACGGCTTCCGTTCCAATTTAATAAAAAATCGCATTATTTTAATAACAATGTTAAAATTTCGCTCTTTACATATCATTTCCTGTAATCTTTTTTCTGTCCCGTACACGCCTTGCAAGGAAATTCTTAAAGAATCGCATACCGTTCAATTTCCTTTCTTGCATGGTTACAGGGTTTCAGTGGAAATCTTCTATTTCTTCGTTCCTAGACCGATTTTTCTTGTCCTTTAATCTTGCAAACTTAGAATGAGGCTACAAAATGTAGCTTCAAAGGTGGCTAACCGGGGGCGAAAAAGTTTAGATTAGATTAGCTCCATTGGAATAACCATCAATCATCATTACTTATTTTAAATTTTTGGCTTTAAGTTTATCCCATCCCACGACCGAATGGACACCTTTTGCAGCACGCACGAAACACGATCGACGTTTTAATTTAGCACCCACCTCAATCTCTGACACCTTCCAGTAGCGCCCAGCGTTGATGGACCTATGTAATTGTTAATTTAACGGATTATGATTAATTTCCTTATGCGCCTAACAAAATTGTTAATCTCTCAAAACTCGTGATTATTAAAACACATACAACCCACGCCTCCGCAACTTTGTGAAAAAAAAAACTATTTCCCACGTTGAGGTTATACGCGAGGCTCTCTCATC